AAATTCTAAATTCAAATTCAAATTTCAGAATTCAAAATTCAAATTTCAAATTTCAAAATTCAAATTCAAAATTCAAATTTCAAATTCAAAATTCAAAATTCGAATTTCAAAATTCAAATTTCAAAATTCAAATTCAAAATTCAAATTTCAAATTTCAAATTCAAAATTCAAAATTTAAACATTTGATAATTAATTTAACTAATTAAATTAATTAGTAATGTCTTGGACTAACCAAGCCCATTACTTAGATCCATGCGCCCTCCACCCTATCTGTGGAGTTCCAAACTACTTCTTGGGCTAATAACAATTGTTAGGCCCAATACCTTTAACGCTAGAGCATCTAGACAATTATCTGTTAGTGTGTGACTCATTAGGTCCAACATAGCCACTGACATAAATGGGCTTGGGCCCAATATGCCCACAACCCATCTAATGACAACACAGAGCACTAGCAATGCTTTGTTGCCCCAGAACTAGTTAGATTAATGAGTTGATCATCCTATTACACATATTTGGTCGCCGTATATATTTTCTTTCGTCTCGGTTACCTTCCCATAAAACCTAGGGTAAGGAAGCGTATCAACCCCTGCGGTTTAGGGTAAGCTTTATTCGAAATAGGGAATCTTCAATTTACTGACTCTAAAGGTAGATCATCTCATGATCTCTTTTACTATGCATAGATTCCCGAGTCCCTGTAAATGTCATCCTGATTTCTCCGGTTTACAGATAACCTAATCTCTCACAGAGATTTGACGAATTCCTTCAGCTTATCACCCTAGCCCTGTGTTCTTTCAGGACAAGCCCAACAGTATACCTATGAGTCTCCATGTTTCAGGCAGACGAGGTGCACAATCAAAGCATGCCTTCTAGAACACAGTCTAGGTAATAACTTCTGGTCTTAGGAAAGACATACCCAAATATAAAGAGACTACTCTAATGATACTCTATGTGAGATTTCCTCATAGAGTCTCTTTGTGGGTCTGTTCAGTGCGAGCTATACCCTTATAGGTCCACCCACGACTTTAGGTAAGACATCTCCATATCTGTAGCTCATGAGGTCTTTACCTTGCATCCAAATACAAGTAGATATGTCGTGCTAGTCTTACCCGAGATCACTGATCCCCATTCTCAGTGTCTCTAGACTAGGAACATAAAATCAGGAATAAACATGCAGTATCCTTGAATCCTCATGATCGTGATCTCATCACAGATACTCAAGAGATACCTATTTTATTACAAGGGGTTTATCCAGTTACTCATATAAATATTAATAGTAATATTGAGACAAAATATGAAATATGATAAATAGTGCTTTTATTTGCGACAATATAAAAGGTCTACATATGTCCTAATCTAATCAAAAGATTGTCTCTAGGACATCCATATACTAACACTTTGGTTGGAGATGAGTGTCATCTTTTTCAAACAAACAAGCTCCAATCAGATTTGGTTGTTGAGAGAATCAGTGAGCTAGTTGGTTCAAACTTGAATGCAACAGCTCAAAGTATCTGGACCCCTTTTAAGGCTGAACGGGGCGCATGAATAGGATGGTCATATGATGACCATTAGTTCAGAATCTTGACTAGATAGAGACCTAGTCTCATGAGGATTCAAAGGTAGGTTGTTGGGAATTTTGAATTGCAACAACTCTACCTTTTTCTCCTCTCTTGTGCGCCACTTTCATTGGTTTTTTAACTGAAAATTCTGATTTGATTTCTCTCACTCTCTCACTCTCTTATGCGCATACTAGGGGTAAGTTCTCCTTAAGGTTTTCAGAAAAAGACATAGCCAATTCTACTCCAATCCATTCCCACTCTTGTGAAGTTTTCATGCTGAAGACTTCACTCTTCTAAACACATTTACCTAGCCTCCTTCTTCATCTATTGAGCGCATAGCAAGCCTCTTTGTGGTGGTCAATTGGTGGCTTGACAAGAAGAGTTCTTGCATCTTGACGTGGGTGGTGTGGATCAACGTTAGAGGGTTTGAACCCTTCAAACCTAACACTGATCATCTTGGAGTTTTGAACTCACAAACAAAGGTAACATCATACTGTCATAAAGCATGATTCTTGATTGCATGTGTGATTCCGCATAAGAAAAAATTTTGTTTTTCCCTCTCACATGCTACGGCCTTCAAGGCCATTTAACTTTCAACAATATTATTAATATTTATGCACAATAAGCATATGATTTAAAAACAACGCCTTCTTTTACGTTTTACGTCTTTAGACTTCTCACAAAGTCATAAGCCCTTTATCACTTGATTCTGATTTAGTTTAATTATTACAGAAGTCGACATAAGTCGATCATGGGTCCACCAACCCAAAATGACATTCTGTATGAACAGTACCGTTACTGTTCCGAAATTCCCAGAATATCCGGATATTTGTCGGGGGCATATCCAGATATCAATATCCGGATATCTCTCTGCCAATATCCGGATATTCAGATCCCCATATCCGGATATTAGTATCCGGATATCATATCCGGATATCAATATCCAGATATCAGTATCCGCATATGCATATCCGGATATTTCGCGACAGAATGCAGTTCTGCATTTCACGAGATATCTTTCCAAAGGTTGGGTTTTTAACCCATTCCAACGTCCTAGCATGCATGTTTAACCTCTTTTAAGTTCATATAACAGTTGGTTACTTGTTTAACTCATTAAACATGCCAAGACACCTCTTTTAACCATTAAAACTCATGATCAAGGTTAGGCAACTCACCCCAAAGCTTAAAACAGCAAGGAATGATGCTCTTGGAGCTCACTTGAAGCTCCCAAAGCTCAGCACACCCAAGGACACGAAAATGCCTCCACCATGGTTGGTTCTTGCACCCAAAGATCACTCCTTGGACCTCAAAGTGCCATGACCAAGGCTCATACCACCCAACTCCCAAACCAGCTCTCAAAACTCCACCAAACAGTGGCTGAGTGTCCAAAAAATGCAGCCTCACACTCTCACAACCCACCCTACCAAGTGTTTGCGAGATCAAGAGGAAGAATCAAGAAGAAAATGGTCCCAAAGCTCAAGAAATGGTGAAGGAAATGCAATGGAACAGTGACAACCACTCAGCCTCAAAGTGTGTCACGTAGGAAGTCTGATGTGCCTAGGGTTTTAGGCCAAGCAAGGGTATTTATAACGATTTACAACTTAAGCACAGAGTATTAGCGCTAATGGCTACGTTTAGCATTTTAATCCCAAACCCAGGATTCTTAACCTTTAATCCCAAACTCAGGATTCTTAACCTACTCATTTTTACAAGATTTATCATATTTTTATTTTACTTTTTCGCAGCACCTTCCCGGTATGCGCTTTTCATAGACAGTATCAGTTTCTGGCACTAGTTCTCATTATTTTAACTTAAAACTTGTTTTAGTAGTCCTATTTAATATTCTAAGAATTTTCATGCACTTATTATAATTTTCCGGAATACTTTTTCGGTACGCATTTATATCGAGTAGCAGAACCGGTATTTGCATTTTTCGTCCGAAAAGCGACTTTCAGCATTATTAACCACTTTCTATATTTATTTAAGCCTTATAATAATTATTAGGGTCAATTATGAAATTATTTCCTAATTTCACATAATTAATTAATTAACTTCCTTAATTAACGGTGCGGGTTCTTACACTCACGCTGGAGATCAGGATTCCGACAGAGTTGAAGACCGAAGACCATTGATCTTCCATCTTCTTCTTCTTCTTTTTTATTGCTTTAATGAATACTTTTTATTTATTTAATTTGTTTAAGTCAGCTATGTCTGGCTAGTTTGTTTTTGTAGTTGGGATCACTGACCCGATGTGAATCCATTATATTTTCTATATTATTTTTATAATTTAATTAGTTAGTTTATTTTATTCTACCTGTGTTAATTTTTCCATATCATGTTTAGAACTGATCAGTCTAAATTATAGGGCTTTGAGGGTTAGAATTCACAATAGACATATTGAAGTTTTAATCTGGACAAGGGTAGAATAACAATTTGTGTATGATCTAGACGTAGGCTTACATAGATTGCAAACTCATAATTCATTTGCTTAATGCTTGATTCAAGAGGAATTACTAAGATATTAGGATTCTAATTGGGTTAAAGGGTTGAAAATAAGGAATTGTCTGAGCAAACCAATTAATTAATTATAAAATACAATATAGGAATATAAGGGAGGATCGGAGGTGAAGTGCATCCTATCTACATCCTTTTACAAATTTCTATCAATATTTTCTTACGTTCTTGATCTTTTCTTGCATGCGTTGGAAATTAATTGTTTTTAATGTTCTGTTTTAAAATATTATTTTATTTTAAATTCTGTTTTTAAATCATAAACTCTCAATTACTTTCATAAACCAAACTAAATTTTTTCTTCCAACTTAAGGATAATAGTTAAACTAGTACTTGGTGCATTAATCCTCGTGGGAACGATATTCTACTTATCACTTTATTACTTGGAACAAATAGTATACTAGCCGATTTCGCAATAATAACTAATCAGGTAGTAAAAGTAATAAATCTAAAATGATAGTAAGTATAACATTCTACATAACATATATAAAACTAATTTTTAACTACATGTTAAAATTAAATTCGTAAATAAATAACTATAAATCTAATGTTTGTTCATCTATATTAATTAATAATTACATGGTTAAATAAAAGACAAAAGTAAAAGAAATAATTGAATAGTTAACCACAGAACGAGAAACTCGTACGAGAAATGGTACGAGAAACAGTGTGAACCAGACAACAAAGAACTGTCCTGAAAGCGCCTCTAGCCAATCCTCAGTCGACAACGTTATCGATGAAACCACTCTGGTTTTACAAAACCACCTGTTTCCATCAGTTTTTTCCACTTTTGCTTTTTCCTTTTCTTTTATCGAATATAATAATTCTAACCAATGATTTTTAGTTTTTTTATTTTATTTCATGTTTTTCCAATTTTATAAGTGAATGAGAAGCAGACATATGGTCATGTTCATCTCCTCTGGTTATCACGTACAAAAGAAGAAGATCGAGAAATCATAGAAATCCATACTCAGAAAGAAGAAAAGAAAGAAACATGGAAGGTGCATCGTTGTTAAAGGTCGTGATCTGTTGATTAAAAATTCTTGTGGGAATTGTGTTGTTGGTGCGGTGGTAACAGTAATAAGAAAAGAGAGTGTTGAAAAGTAAGAGAGTAATTTAAGAAGGTAGAAACAGTGTATAATAGAATAGTGAGATATGGGGAGGGGAAGAGTGCAATTGAAGAGGATCGAGAACAAGATCAATAGACAAGTCACCTTCTCAAAGAGAAGGTCTGGTTTGCTTAAGAAAGCACACGAGATCTCTGTGCTTTGTGATGCTGAAGTTGCTCTCATAGTCTTCTCCACCAAAGGCAAGCTTTTCGAGTACTCTAGCGATCCCTGGTATGTTTTTTTTGTCACTCATCACACCTTACGTACAACTCTTTCTTCTTTCTCTCTCTTGTTTTCTTTCTTTCCAAGTTTATGAATTTTTCGTTATCTTAAATCATTTTAATTTCTCTGCTTACCATCGCTATGTCTACTGTATATTTTTATGCCTCTGATGTCGATGTTTCATGTTTCCATTTTCTCATTTTTTTTCCCTTTATAGTATGGTGTTCTTCTGGTTTATCCCTTAATATTCAATTCATCCCCCCCCCCCCCCCCCCCTTGTAAGTATATTTGTTGGTCATCTATATTTTTGTTTAGACGTTTAGTATATAGTAAGTGAGTGAATTGTTTGATGCAATTGGATACTCAATTCTCAATTTTTCGTTATGATTGATTTGGCCTTGCAATCTTCAAAGATTATATTTTTTGGTATTTTTGTGTGTGTGTCTTATACTTGAAATGATTGTCAGCATGTAGTGGCATATACTTTAGCTTTAGGATAGCTTAATATTTTTTTTAAGCTAATAGCATAACTTATTTCGTTAAGCTTGATGTATCACTTTTTACTTCTTATGGTGTCACCAGAGAGAGAGAGAGATCGATCTTAATTTTGATATTGGAGCAGTTTATTAATGAGTATTTTGTCTAGGGTGGATGATTGTGTAGCGAAGTGTAAGTTACTACCCGCATGGTCATATAAAACGTACGTGATTCGCTATTTGAAAGCAGCAGCCTGATCTGACATATTCAGCCTCAGACACAAATATGAGAAAGGAGCAGAAAATTGACCGATCACTGTGATAATATATATATATGTATAACGATAGATCAACTTACACCGGTGTAAGAATAATAAATCTTATACCAAATCTTAATCGTTGATTTTCGTGCATGTAACGGTTAAGATTTATTGAGAATTAAAAATTAATTAATGAGTGAGACCTAATAAATCTTAACCGTTAGATGCAGAAAATTAATGGTTAAGATTTGATGAAAGACTTATTATTCTTACACCAGTGTAAGATGATCCTGCCCAATATATATATATATATATATTAATATTTTTCATATTATAAGAGATAAATTTATCTCCTATATATACATAAAAGTGTGTGATAGATTCATATGCAGAAAAAAAAAATGGTCCTCACATATTTTTATATATATATATAAGAGATCATTTTTATCTCCTACAACCTTCACGAAAAATATTAAACCCATATATAAAATCCCATTGCTATTAGATTTATTCCTAGAGCTGCCAATACTAAAAATCAATATCACACTTGACTATATACCACTTTCATACCATAAGAGACACCGGGAATAACTCCTACTCCAATAGGGATCTCATTATTGTCCGTGCTAATTATTTTTCTTTACTAGTTAACCTGGGTCTAATAGAAAGTCACTTTAGCAGCCCAAGTTAATTTTTGCTGACGTTTTAGTTAGGATTCATTAACTGGTGTAGGTACACACTCTATGCATGCACATATTAAAGTAGGTAACTCTAGAGTTTGGTATGATGGATAAACATAAAAAAACTATTATTTTAGTCTCTATAATATCTCTATATTGCCATTGAATTTCCAATCATTTTACTGTATCAATTTACTCATTTTAAAAACGAGTGCAATAAACCTTATTATATCTCTTATAACCCTTATATCAAATTAATATTGACGGAGCTCTTTTTATTAAGATAGTTTTTCCTCAAACATAAAATAAAATAAAATAAATTTCACACGTGACATATATATTATGCTGTGTATGATTTTATTTTACATATTTTTTGAAATATAAAATCCTGAAAATTTTTAAAGTTCTTAAAAGTTTTTAAGGTAAGGAGTCTATATTCGTCTTGAAACATATTGTTCACAAGAATAATTAACTGTTCGAATTATATGAGAAATATGTTACTCATATAATATTAATCCAAAGAAAACACATCTGTACCTCTTTTAATCCTTGGAACGGATGGATATCTTATTGTTCGCATACGATGGAACGAACTTGTTCTTAATTAATTATATTCTTTCAAAGATAGAAAAAAAATAAAATTAATTAAATGAATAGGCCTCCAAAAGTAGAAGTACCCCTGTAGAGATGGAGTAGATCGAGATAACTGTAGTGTTTGAATATTTTTTTTTTTTTTGAAAATATTCCATCGGTTCATCGCTTCGCGATTAGTCTGATTCGGGACGGGTCCAGGATTAAAGCTTTAAATCCTCTCAAAGGTGGTACTGGGAAGATTCGAACACATGCCCTCACCCCCACCTGCTCAGCTCCCATGCGCCAACTGAACTTGTTCTTAATTAATTATATTCTTTCAAAGATAGAAAAAAATAAGTTATGCAAATTAATTAAATTAATAGGCCTCCAAAAGTAGAAGTACCCCTGTAGAGATGGAGTAGATCGAGATAACTGTAGTGTTTGAATATCTTTGCATTAGCTATGTTGGTATAAGATATCCGAGATAATTACTCAACAATTAAACTTTGATGTTCTCTCTTGAAGAGAAATACGTACTAACACTCGAAGCTTGGATTGGATGGCTTTGCGCGAGATACGTATTGTAAGTTAAAGTCTCATCCCCGGTCGGTTTAGTTCATTTAAAAGAATTATTCTCCCTAGGCGGTGGTCTAAGATTCAAAATCAGAGCAATCAAATACGAAGCTTATAGAGCCATGCCTACTATGCGGGTCTACACTACTGGAAGTGCATGACCCCTTTAAGGTGTGGGAGAAGTTGTTACTAACAAGTTGGGGAATGAGTGAGAAATAGATAAGTAGGAAGGAAGATGTGATTATTGGGTAAGCTGATTGTAAGTGGAATTTAGGAGAGTTCGGGTCACTCTTGGAATATGTTTTCTTCTTCTTTATTATGCTTTGTACTCACTTTATATATATATATATATATATATATATATATATATAGGGGCAGGATCCTTTGACACCGGTGTCAAATTTGAAGTTTGACACCTCATCTGAGAGCCGTTAGATCAAAAAATATCAACGACTCTGATTTGTAAGCATGTGGCACCATTGATCTTTTTTGATCTAACAGCTCTCAGATGAGGTGTCAAACTTTAGATTTGACACTGGTGTCAAAGGATCTCATCCCATATATATATATATATATAATCTCTAATCTCGTAAGAATTCCATCAAGTGGTATATATAGGAGCTCTCAATTCCTTTCAGTTTATGACAAGTAAATTATGTAGTAGTGTCTGTTGAGACATTCATGTGTGCTTAGCCTCACATCCCACATTGGTTGGTAATGAGCTAAGTGAAGAGTATATAAGTGGAAGGACCTATAAATTCAATGCCTTAGGGTTTTTGGTTGAGATGTGGAGCGGGTTCAGGGAAAGCCAATGGAGGGGGAGCACCACCAATGGGTTAAGTGGATCAAACACACCTAGTGGGTTCGACACCTGGCCCAAGTACTCAACCAGCCTCTAGTCAACCACGCCAACCACCAGACTAGCTCGAGCACAACCCGGCTTTGATACCACTGTCAGACGGGTCCATGAAGAGCCCATGGCGGGGGACCACCACTAATGAGCTAAGTAGATCAAATACATCAAGTGGGTCCGACACCATATCTCAACCCAAAACCTTAAGGCATTGAGTTTATGAGTTCTTCCACTTATACGAATTATGAACGGATCGTGTGTACACTCTATTATACGAATTATGAAATGCTTCGCTATATTAGGATGAATGGTGTTCCGATTGTAGCTTTCGTGTTATGATTGTAGCATTGATGATGGTTATGATGTTTGTTTTCGAGCTAAGTAAGCAAGGAATGCATTTCCTATTACTTCCAATAAAAGTGTTGTGTGTTTCGATCTTATTCATTGTGATTTGTGGGCTCCTTTTCCCTCGTGCTCTTTTAGGGGCGTGCATTATTTCTTGACCATTGTTGATGATCATAGTAAAAATGTATCAGTTTGTCTTATGGCTGAAAAAGCTGACACTCTGTTGGCTTTGTGCAAGTTTCTCACTATGGTACAAGCATAATTTGGCACTTTAGTGAAAGAAATACAAAATGATAATGGAATTGAGTTTGAGCATAAAAATATGACTTACTTGTTTGATGAACACGGTATAATACATCAAACTTCATGTGTGGATACCCTAAATAGAATGGCCGTGTTGAGAGGAAGCATCGTCATATTCTTAACTTGGCTCGAGCATTGAAATTATAGAAACAATTGTCACTCGAATTTTGGAGGGAATGCGTACTAGCCGTGACACATCTTATCAACCACACCCCTTCTTAACTCTCATATGCTTCCACACATTTGGGTCGTAGTCAAAATGTTAAAATGCCTCCTAAGTACCTCCAAGAATATAAGTGTCATCACTTTCATACACATACACACCTTCATTCTTCAATGCGCCAATCCAACAGCCCCTCGGGTAGTCTATATCCTCTCTCAAACTTTATTTCTTGCTCAAATTTTTCACCAAAACACAAGGGTTTCTTGGATGCTATAAGCGCAGGTGTTGTGCCGTGTAACTTCAAGGATGTTGCATTTGATCCTTGCTAGAGGGAGGCCATGGAGAAAGAAATTACAACGTTGGAAGCCAATCACACTTGGAATGTCACAAAACTGACAGTGGAAAATGAGCAATTCTGTGTCAGTGGGTATTTTAGATAAAATATTGCTATGATGGATCTATTGAACGTTTTAAAGCAAGATTGGTAATAAATGCGAACCGACAAATTAAAGTTGGCGATTTTTCTGAGATATTTGCTCCTGTTGTTAAGATGGTGAGTGTGAGCACTTTCTTGGCCGTTGCAGTTGCTAAGCGCTGGGAGCTTCATAAGTTTGATGTTAATAATGCATTCCTCCATGGTGACTTACACGAGGAGGTGTACATGCATCCTTCACCCGGATACTCTATTGTTTCTCCATCTCAAGTGTGTCAACTTAGAAAATCTCTATATGGACTTCGTCAATCAACACGTAATCGGTTCACTAAGCTACAAAATTCTCTATTGCATTTGATTTTATACAATCTAAAGCAGAATACTCTTTGTTCACCTTTACTCGAGGGGATGTGTTTATTGCATTATTGGGGTATGTCGATGACATTATTCTTGCTGGCAATGATCATCTATATGCACTAAGGTAAAAGCCTATCTCAATTCTTGTTTTCAGATCAAGGACTTGGAAGCATCGAAATATTTTCTTGGAATAGGGATTGTGCACAGTCTTGTGGGCTTGTTTTTATGTGAGCAAAAATATACTTTAGATATTCTTCATGAAGCAGGCATATTGGGTTGTAAATCGGCTAATTTTCCTATGGAACAACAGCATCAACTAGCTCTTGCTGATGCAGATGACTTTCCCGACCCTGCTTGCTACCTTCGTCTAATCGATCACAAGGCGTATTTGACAATTATGCGACAAGAATTGTGTTACCCAGTTCACACATTGTCCCAATTCATGCAGGCACCAAAACAGGAACATTTTGATGCGGTTATACGGGTTTTGCTCTATTTAAAATCAAACCCTGGTCAAAGGTTTGGTTTTGTCTTCATATTATGATTTACAATTGTATGCTTATTGTGATTCAGATTAGGCAGGTTTCCTCTGGGCTAATATCACCATGGATTTTATTAGTGGCTTGCCCAAGTCCATGGAGTTGACTCTATCTTCAACAAAGTAGAACAGATGACTAATCATGGACATTTCCTCTATCTTTTTCATCTCTATTTTGCTAAATATGTAGTTCATAAATTCATCAAGGAGATTGCCAAATTTCTTGGTTTTTCATCCTATATTGTGTTAGACAAGGATAGGATATTTATAAGCAAATTCTAGTCCAAACATTATAAATATTCAGGCACCAAGCTGAACTATAGCTTTGCATATCACCCTCAATCTAAAATCGAGGTGGTCAATAGGTGCTTGGAGACCTATTTAAGATGCTTTTACAATCTAAAATTGAATTGGTCAAGTGGCTTCACTGAGCCAAATTTTGGCACAACATTAAATGTAATCACTTTACTGGTACAAATCCATTCAAAGTCCTTTACGGTCAAGATCCACCTACATTGTTTAGAGGAAAAACCTTCCCTTTATTGTTGATGAAATGCCTAAGATCGTGAAAAAATGAGACACCATTTTGCAAGAGCTACAAAATCATAGTTCAAAACTTCATAAAGGTCTAAGCGGATCAAATAAGAGAGATGTGGTTTTTACACAACCTTATAGGCTAAAATCACTGCCAAGAAGGCTAAATTATAGGCTTAGGCTTCAATTTTGTGGTTGGCAACTTGGCATACAGTTTTGGAGAAGATTGAGAAAACTACATACAAACTGGAGTTGCCCACAACCAGTTGGATCCACCTTGTATTTCATGTTTGCCTCTTGGAAAACACAATTACAATACCAATTTTTTCCAATCCTTGCCTCCATTGTTGTCCAAGGAGATAAGCTCATAGTGCAGCCTAAAGAAGTCTTTAGTTATCGAACTAATATAGCAGGTTAGCTTGAGGTGCTAATCAAGTGGTTGTCTCTACCACCTTTTGTGAATACTTTGAAACTTTTCCAGCCACACATTAGCATTTCACAATTTCACCTTAAGGACATGGTGAAGACTTTGGGAGAAGTATTGATAAAACCACACTCATTATATGAGTGTACACTAGGAGGGGTTTCAAGACATTGAGTCCTTTCCATGTTGGAAATGCATGATCTCTTTGAGGCAAGACAAGCTTTTACTAAAAGCTTGGAAAGTAAGAGAGACTAAGAGGGTGTTTGGTAAAAGAAAAAATTTTAAAATCCTGGGAAATTGAGATTGAGAATTCGAATTACCCACGTTTGGTAAATGGATTGTAAAATTTTTCTCGGGAAAGTCGAATTCTCGGGATTAATGTTTATGAAGAAAAATTCTATTTTAAAATACCACCAAATGGGTGGTATTTTGAGAATCCCATGTGATATGAGAATATTTGATAATTTTTTTGGGACATAATTAACCTCAATCCACATTCCCATCAATATTTTACAATCAACTAAACATAGTATCAAGAAAATTAATCCAACATTCCCGTGAATATTTTAGTTTACCAAACAACTTTTTTGATAACATTCCCGGGAAACTCACTTTTCCACTATATTCCTGAAAATAGTAATTCTCGGGTAATTTTTTTTTTCTCTACTAAACACCCCCTAAGAGAGTTAAGTAGGGAGAGAGAGGTGCTTATCAATGGGGATATTTTTTGTTTTTCTTTCTTATGCTTTGTACCTAATTTAGACTGACACACCCACCATCTATATCAGTGTCAGTTACATAATATACAATTTTTTCCTTCAATTTCTTCTCTAATCTTATTCGAATCCCTTCAGAGGCACACCCAACCTACTTGTGTAAATATAGATATAGAAAAAATTGGGTTGATGCATACTCCTAGAAAGAATATGCAACAAAATGGTGGTAGCTTAGTTGGCGCATGAGAGCTAAGCAGGTGGGGGTGAGAGTAAGGGTGTAAATGGACCAGTCTAGGCCAGGCTTTGGCCTTCCTGGCCTAAGGCCGTCTACGTAAAAAAATGTTCAGCCTATCTAGCCTATTGGCCTATTAAAGGCTTCGTTTATAAGTCTGGCCTAGCCTATTGTTAAAAATTATAAAGCCTGATATGGCCTACAGGCCTTATAGGCCTCCCGATATAGATACTAAGCAAAGAAAATAATTGTACAGAGCAAAGGAAGTTCCATCATGTATGCATTTACATTTCTCATAAGAAATAAAAGATGACAAACAAGAAAGAGTCAACATAATACCGCAGTTCTAGAATGTATATGAGAAAGGAATAAAGTCAAAGAAATGGGAAAAATAAGAAGAAAATACAATTACTTTAAAAAATTATTTTAAAGTAATTTTAAAATATATTATATTATTTTAAAAAATTAAATAGGCTAGCCTACAAGGCTTTAGGCCAGACTTGACAAAGTTGGCCTATGGTCTATTTGTTAAAAAAGCTTTCCTATAAGCCTAAGCCAACTCTATTTTTCAGAGAGGCTAGGCTAGGCCATGCCAAATATAGGCCAGGCTGTAGGACGAGCCAGGCCAGCCTGGCTCATTTACACCCCTAGGTGCAGTATCATCTTTTGGAGGGATTTAAAGCCTTAATCCTGGACCCTTCCGAATCAAATTAGTTGCGAAACAGTGAACCGATTAGAATATTTCCAAAAAAAGAAGAAGAAAGAATATGCAAGACGAATGTAGATGGCATTATTTTGTTTCTTTCTCTTTTCAAAAAGAAGAGGTAGTAATGTATGATTAAGAAATGTTGACAAATATTTTATTGGGATTGTGGAATTCTTGCCTGTGTAACTGAGTGTATTTGAAAGTCAAAATGACAAACAATTTCTTGGAGTATCAATCTTAGCTTTAGATTAATATTTACGCAATATATCATGAAATGCCCGAAATGAAGATGATAATTCAATCCGCTTAAAATTAATTTCCTTTCCTTCAATATCAATTCCTGTATATATATGTCTGAGAATTCATTTCTACAATGTGTGTGAATTTGATATTGGCTGAAAATTAGAAGTCTCTTTGTGCAATCCATTCTCTTTTGCTTGGAATAAAAAGTTGTTATCAATATGGGAAAGGTTATACTTACTACCTTTTTTTCTTACTACTTCTTACTACCAAATCTTAACCGTTGATTTCCTTCAATCTAACGGTTATAATTTATTGGATTACATTTATTAATTAATTATTAATTTTCAATAAATTATAACCGTTAGATCAACGGAAATCAACGGTTAGGATTTGGTAGTAAGAAGTAGTAAAAAAAAAGGTAGTAAGTATAACATTTCCCTATCAATATATACAATATTTGGTCACTTTTACTTTTCTTTGTCAACAGCATGGAAAGAATTCTTGAACGGTATGAGAGATATTCGTATGCGGAGAGGCAGCTTGTTGCAAATGATCAGCAACCAAATGTAGGTCATCAACTCCTATAAATCAATTTTGAACTGATTTCATTGCTTTATTTGTTAATTGATGTTAACTGAAGATTATTGTCTTTTTAATACAGTGACATCACTAAGATTTGAATCTATATATCCCTCACGACTAACACATTCTTTATGACTTTTTGTTTCGTATCTCTATACCATTCCTACCACCATTTTCCAAACCAACTAATTTATTAATTTTTATATAAGTCAATTCATGTACACATTTCTATTCTATCCTCACCACTTTCTAATATGTGTATGCTCTTATAGAAGTTTCCAACTGATGAAAACTTCTTTCTTTATGGCAATTCAAAAATCAATTAAATATTTATTGCACCTTGTTGTTGCTGCAATCATAACATTGATTTTATTATTTGTTAGGAAAATTGGACTCTAGAACACGCAAAGCTCAAAGCAAGGTTGGAAGTCCTACAGAGAAATCAAAGGTATTTAAGAAGTACAAGCAACGGTTCTTGTGTTTTATAATTGATGAAATATGAAGTAGGGTTTCTTGCTTTGTTTTGCAGGAATTTTATGGGAGAAGAACTGGATGGCCTAAGTATAAAAGAGCTTCAAAATTTGGAACATCAGCTTGATTCTGCTCTCAAACACATTAGATCACGAAAGGTAAACAAAAATGCGACCCAGAGTATTGGCAATATAGTATTGAACTGTATGTCATAGTCATTCTAACTGTTTAATTATATAACTTGCAGAACCAACTCATGTATGAATCTATTTCAGAGCTTCATAAAAAGGTAAATCTTGTTGCATTCATCTTGTTATAAAGTTTAAGTTGAACAATAACCATATTGCAATTGATAAATAAGTAGAAACTAATTTTTTCTTCTCCAAAATGTGAAAGTAACTCATGGTTATAGCATATTTGGAAGAGCTTATTTTTAGCCTTTTGAGATTATCTACTACAATAGGTGCTTATAAAGTATTTTGGTCATGTTTGTTTGAGCTTATCAAGATAACTTTTGAAATTCTTGGGCTTATTTTCATAAGCTAGAAATTGAAGCTTATCCAAATGAGTTGTTGTAAAAGCTAAAATAAAGTTAGGCAATAGTTGTTTTTATAATAATTTCTAACTAAATTAGATGATATTTATTAAAATTTTGTTTACATAAGCACTTATTCAAGCTTCATTCCAAATGCAATTTACACTTACTTTAAACCACATTATAGTTAAGCTTACTTAAAAGTACTTTCTGAATAAATACTTATTTAAGATATTTATTCAAAGTAGGTGAAAATAAGGGTGAATCTAGTAGATTAAAATAATAATTTTTTAATGGGTTAGATTTGATAGCAATCTATCATAAATAAAAACATTATTTTCTTATCTGGTAAAATATAAACATTTGTAAATGTTGTACAAAATACAAAAGAATGATCATTTGGGACTTACGAATTGAATATTAAACTAATTTGAACAGGGAAAGATAGAAAGAAAGAGTATTGTTTTCTTATTTAGAATCCTCATTGAAACCACTAATTTTGGGTTGCGTTTTTTTAGATAATTACCTTGACATTTGCACACCTATCTCGGATTACTTTGTTATTTATTTTTAAAGAAAAATTAAGTAGCAATAAAATAAAAATAAGGAAAGTAAATGTAATTTCTCATACAAGGAAGGGAGGATGGAGTAATAGACATTAATCTCACGGGAGGTCAACATTTGCTTTTTGTTCCTTTAGACAAATGAGTAATTAATAAATATAAGGTTATATCAATTTATTGTGATACACTTTATTTTATGAACTATAATTTCCCTATTTTTGTTAATATTTGTGTGTATACATCAACATCAACATCAACAACACCTTTATCCCAAATTAATTGGGGTCGGTGGTAGATGAACCCACATGAAAGATACAAAACGGTTGAAAAAAAAAAAAAAGTAAAAAAGTAAAAAAGCCAAAAATAAATAAATAAAAATAAACAAATAAAATAAAAATATAAAATAAGATAAAATAAAATAACAATATATGTATAAATAAATAAATAAGAGTAAAAAAGAAAGGGACAAGAAGAAGTGGGGGAAATGAAGGACAATTGGTTTTGCATTAAGGACAATTGTAATGTAGATATGTCATTTTAAATATCGTAAATTATTAAATATATTGATAATTAAATATCAATTTGTAGTATACCATTAGTTGAAACACCATCACGATTTAATTAGTTGTTGTGTATTAGCAAATTTTTTTGTTTGACGATGCAGGATAAGGCCCTCCAAGAACAAAACACCTTGCTTGCTAAGAAGGTAATACTGTTTTTTATTTCTCCATAGCTCTTGTAGGCTGTGGTTTAGTTGGATTATGAGTCTCACTTTACTTGATTGCATGAAAAAATAGATAAAGGAGAAAGAGAAGGCACTGACCCAACAGGCCCAACTGGAGCAGCAAACTGATGATATGGATCTAGCCTCTTCTGCCGTCGTACCTCAATCATTGCAAACCTTGAATATTGGGTTAGTGTATTTTATTTTGTACATCACTTGTTCATTAACTAATTTGTACATATAGAGATGCACAATGAATAGGAGAGTTATTATATATTGCATTTAGAGTGCCATGCATGAGCAATAATGTGCAAATAGGAACAAGAACTACTGTTTCGTGATCTACTTATGGATATGAAAAAAATACATTATGCTCTATAACTTCTAATGCACTTAAGGGTCTCGGAGTTGGATTGGACCGAAACTTGGCTAGTTGCATCAAAACGAGGTATTGAATAAGAGTCATTTGAAATTATCGATGGATTTTTTTTTTTGTTACAAAATGGTTTCAATAAGTTTTTAATATTTTTACCTTTAGTGATAATATCCGTAATTTTATATATATATATATATATATATATATATATATATATATATATATTTTTGATAACATAATTTTATATTTTTAATTAAATTAGATTTGAACTTCTAATTTTTATTATTCTGATAATTAATTAGAGAATAAGGTTTTTCTTTACTAATCCTAATTCTTTTGTGTAGCTAATATTCTATGCATTTTGCATGAACTTTAAGAATGTCTCGAAGGCATTATTCATCATACTCATTCACCTTAGCTTTTGTTTGAACGTAAAGTTATAACACTAAGTGGGTTGCTTGATGCAGTGGTTCCTTGCAAGGGAGAGGTGATGGGGAAGATAATGAAGGAACCCCAACGCGAACCCAAGCTACTGCCCTTCTTCCACCTTGGATGCTTCGTCCCATAAATGAATAGATGACAATTACACAACTTTTTATAATAAATATGAATATGGCTAGTACGAAGCCTACCTTATGTGTTGTGAAGAGGTCTAGTGTCTTGTTATGTTGAACGACTTATGGTGAATTAGACGGTCTAATACACACGCATATGGCTAGTACGAGGTCTAGTGATAATATCATATGGCTAGTACGAAGCCTACCTTATGCGTGTGTATTACTCATGGTTATGGCAAAATGGTCATTGTAATATTTGAATATAATGTGTATGTAATATGTCTGGATGACTACAATTCATAGTTACATGGTGAATTAGACGGTCTACTCACAAGCCTATAATACACACGCACGCATACACATATATGGAACAGTGGCCATTTTGTCACTGTTGGCCAAAAAAATTACCAAACTGTCACGCCAACAGTAAATTTTGTCAAAATGTCACGTGGCATATTTCGCTACACTGTGTAGCAAAATATGTGTGCAAATAATTCGCTACACAGTGTAGTGAAATATGCCACGTCAGAACCAAAAATGCCACGTGTCAAAATTGTAGAAATTCGCTACCCTATGTAGCGAATTTCTTCAATTTTAACATATGGCATTTTTGGTTCTGAGCAGTCTGACGTGGTATGTTTGGCTACACTGTGTAGCGAATTATTTGAACACATATTTCGCTACACAGTGTAGCGAAATATGCCACGTGGCATTTTGACAAAATTTACTGTTGGCGTGGCAGTCTGGTAATTTTTTTGGCCAACAGTGACATTTTGGTCACTGTTCCCACATATATAGTATCAAATATGGCTGGTTCTTATTAAAGGTTTAATTTGAACCAGGAGACCCACCAGACAAATGTGTAGTTGACATGGATAAAGAATATGAGGAATTAAATATAAGAGTAAATATCATTTTTGGTTCTCAGCAAATTTCACGATGCCTTTTTTAGTCCCTAGCAAATAAAAAGGCCCATCGTGATCCCTAAAAAATTCAAAATGGACCCGTTTAGTTGAAATCGAGGTCCCTCACAAATTCAAAAAAGACTCATATTAGTCCCCAAAAGGACTAAAATGGGTCCATTTTGAATTTTTTAGGGACCACGATGGGCCTTTTTATTTGCCAGGGATTAAAGCGGACTTTGTGAAATTTGCTGAGGACCAAAAATGGTATTTACTCTAAATATAATCTGGGTATTAACCGTTGAAGGATTACAATATATATGTATATATATATGGTTTCAATTTTCTCATGCTATAGATATAACAATGTATAGTAATTATAAATAAAAGAGTAAACACCATTTTTAGTCCTTGTCAATATCTACGAAATCCTTTTTAGTCCCTGGCAATAAAAAAGTACCAAATTGGTCCTTGAAATTACAAAAAAAGGGCCATGTTAGTCCTTATGTCAACTCCCAAATATGTAGAGTGGCCCTTTTCTTGTACTTTCAGGGACCAATTTGGTCCTTTTTTATTGCCAGGGACTGAAAAAGACTTCGTAGATATTGCCAGGGACTAAAAAAGGTGTTTACTCTAAATAAAATTACATAAGTATAGGAAATTATGGAATTATATAGTTAAGTTATGTAATTTCACGAAAAATATGTTACGGAAGCCAGAATTGATCTGTTAATCATCCGATTGACATGATATAAGTTATAGAAATACAATTTATACCAAGCAAGTCAATTATGACCCTTATAATAATATTTAAAAAATTTAGGGTCAAAGTTTTATTATGTAAAAGTTTAGGAACCAATTTGCAAATGGGCAAAACTTGGCCTAAACTTGATTTAATTGGTTTAATTAAATTTCGTAGAAAAATTTATTGGTTTAGAGTGATCTTAGTTTAATCTATATATGATTAGATTATTTGTTGAAAATAAGTCAAAAAACTTTGTATTCTAGTCATACATATTATTCTAGTATATATACTTACTTTTCATAATTTTCCGGGATACTTCATAGGTATGCATTTATACCGTGAGGCAGAACCGGTATCTGCACTTTTCGTCAGAAAAGCGACTTTCAACATTATTAATCACTTACTATAATTATTTAAGCCTTCTCATAATTATTAGGGTCAATTATGGAATTATTTCCTAAATTCACATTTAAATTAATTAAATTCCTAATTTAACGGTGCAGGTTCTTACACTGATCAACTCATGTCCTTGTGTATCATGTGCAGAGTTATGGCTAACCTTGGGAGTGCTCGAGAGATAACAAATGGGCGATCAGATCCCATTGCCACTGCATTGGCTGAGATGCAAATTGCTATGAAAGCTGAGTTAGGAGCGATTAGAGAGGCTAATCAGACTATGATGGTCACCATGTGGGAGGAAAACTAGAAAGCCATTGAGGATGTACTTCAGGCGAACCTATTGGTAAACATGACTATGATGAGGGTCATGTTGGAGGAGATGAGGACTGGTCACAATGATGGCCAACATCCTCCTCCGTGGCCACCCCCACCTCACCGTCAAGATGGGAATAGGAGTGGAGGAAATCATTTTCAGGAAGACATGGGTCATAGTAACTTGGAAGATGTTAGTCATCTTACTGGCATGATGCAGCCATACTACAAGCCTATTGAGGACCAGGAGACGAGAGACCGCCGACTGAATGCTTTTCGTAAGCATAACCAACCATCCTTTGATGGATCATATGATCCGATTGTCGCAGCCAAGTGGTTGCAGGCCCTGGATAAGATTTTCAGGGTGATGCAGTATACTGATCCAAATAAGTTATTGTTCGCTACCTACATGCTTGAGGGAGATGCACATGAGTGGTGGATGAACACCTCTCAAGCATACGAGATGCAGGACCAGATTATGACATGGCCATTCTTCGAGGAGATATTTTTGGTGAAGTATTTCCCATATGATACGATGGAGCGCAAGTAGGGAGTGTTCGAGCGTCTTGTACAGGGCTCGATGACTGTAGATGAGTATTTGGCTAAATTCAATGAATTAGCCAAGTTTGCTCATTTTTGGATGGCGATGCCAACACCGGTGTTTCTAGCTTCTAAATTCTGTAGAGGTCTCAGTGAGGAGATAATAGATAGGATTGCTGGAACAGCATGCAGAGACTTCGACACCTTGATTCAGCAGTGTCGTGACATTGAGGATGTTTGTGTGGTTAGCAAGGCCAAGAAGGCCAAGGTGTCTGAGGAGAGAGGAGCGGACACTTCTACTCATGATAGATATAGGAGATTTGATAGCAGAAGCAAAGGCAAAAGTCTTCACGTAAAGAAATTATATTAGTAGTTCAAGAAGACTACTACTCAGGCAGACAACTTTGCTAGACCTTCGACTATTCCGAAGTGTGCTGGTTACGGGAAGACGCATATGGGACCCTGTGCTATAGGAAAGATTGTTTGTTTCAAGTGTGGCAAGGAGGACCACTATGCCAGAAACTGCTTTATACCTGTTGCTAGTGCTACGGTTGCTCATATAGCACCACTTCAGATGATTCCTGCACCACTGGTTACTGATAGAGTCTACACTTTAAATCGTCAGCAATCAGATAGAGCTTTGAACCTTGTGAGAGGTATAATTCACGTTGTGGATACTTCAGTAATCTATTGTTTGACTTAGGGACTGCACACTTATTTATTGCGAGTCCGATTGTTGTGGGGCTAAACTTGCCCATGTCTGAGCTTTCTCTATTTTCGAGGGTTACTACCACTACGGGAGAGAAATACGACGCTTCATTTATTTTTCGGGATGTGGTATTTCAGTTGGATGGCCGAGATTGCATAGCAAATCTCATTTGTCTACCCATGGTCAACCTTGAGATCATTTTGGGTATGGACTTGCTATTAAGAAATTGTGTGTGTTGAATTATTGTGATTGCATAATATGATGTCTGAAATATGTATCATATATGGAATATTGTAATTAAGTGTTTAATAATACAACAGGGTGAACTAGGTTGATTGAGTGGGTTATTGGCCATTAGTGTATTATGGACTATCCTTGGAAGGGATGTATCCAAAGAGGTTTCCTCTGAGGAATTCCATTGGACACTCAGTTGATATGTGATTCATTGAGTGGTCTTTGTGTAAAGGTACACCAGAGGCTGGTATGCCTACTAGTTCTTGGCCAATAATCAATGTCATGGGCTTTCCTTTGGGGATTGGATCCTAAGAGTGTTGACTCTTGGAAGTCCCATGAGGGCACCAATTTGAGAGTGACTCATCGGGGGTCCTGGTGCACGAGGTGCACAGTTCAAGAAATTTTAGTTTGTCTCATAGTATAATAATGCATTAAGAGACTTGAAATATGAGTTTATACTCTACAGCCACCAAGTGGTGGAATGAGTAAAATATACGAAGAGTGATATGCCAAAGTTTGGCATGAAAGGTAAGGTGCCTTACGTCATTACATAATTTGTGATGGTGCTTTATTTTAAAAACGCAAGAGATGATATCTTATTGCGTGTGAGTGAAAAACACTCTCTAGTTAGGTTTGTTTGAGAATGTCAAATTCTCTTTAAGGAATTAAATGTGTAACACTTGGAATTTGTGGCAAGGCCACGCGTGAACTGGATATGTGTAAGAACCCGCACCGATAAATTAGGAATTTAAATAATTAAATTATGAGTTTAGGAAATAACTCCATAATTGACCTTGGATAAATATAGGAAGATTAGAATAATTATTGAGATGGACAAATAATGCTTAAATCGTTGTTCTGATGAAAAATGCAGACATCAGTTCTGTTTTACGGTATAAATGTGTACCGGTGAAGTATTTCGAAAAAAATAATAAAAATATAAATACTCCTAGAAAAATATCTAGGTCTAGGATATCAAGTTTGGAATAAGAATAATGAGCGGTGATGCCAGAACTAATATCGGTTACGTATAAAAAGCCTACTGGCAAAGTGCTTCGAAAATTATAAAAATATATATGATAATTCCTAGAAAAATGTCTAGGTTCAGAATATTAAGTTGTGTAGAAAAATGATTAGTGGAGCTATTAGAACTAATACCGATGGATTAATTAATTGCACCTATAAATAGCCTTTGCACATAAACCTAGGTCAATTTTTCTAATCTTCTACGTAGAGTGTTCTTGTGTTTAATGGCTGCCACCTTCCTACATTCTTAAAAGCTTGAGCTTTTTGATTGGAAATCACTCAAGACACCACCTTTTCTATTGGTTCTTCCTCTCTAATCTTTTAAACACTTGAGAGCAGACTTGGTGAGGGGGAAAAACCACTTCTTGAGAGGTTCTGAACTCTGTTTGAGGGCGGGTGGGGGGTAGAGTTGCTGACTTTTGGTTGAGAGTGTGAAGGCCATTTTCACTCA